ACACTTACTCTACTAGAAAAGACATAATATTGCTTTAAAAAATAAAAGCTTAACAGTGTTTCAAAATTCTTTTTTTCTTTGTGGTGCTAGGGATGGAACCCAGGTTCCTCATGCATGCTGGGCAGGTACTCTCACTGAGCTACACACCCCTAGCCCCCAAATTCTTAAAATAAATAAACAGACTTACACTCGAGGGGAAAATAGACAAATTCTAGCAGGAAAACCCCACAAAACATACTTTACAAGATATGCATAACTTTTTTAAAAAATGTATTATACAAAGCTTCCTCTACGTCAACATTCTGAGGATTTGGTTCTGAAAAAAACTAAACAACCATTACAGTAAATAAACTTTGAACAAGCCCTTTTCTGTAGAATTATTTCTCATTTGTAAAGATCTTTAAAGAAACCTAGGTGCCATATTGTTTCAAGATCTCTTTTAAGAATGGTATATTCCAACTGTATAACTCTTCCCGAATTAAAACTCAATGTTAGCAGCTCACATTAAAAAAATGGAAACTAGTAGCTATCTTTAAGAGATGAATTACACTGAAACACAATAGTTGTATTATTTTGGAGAGGGGAAGATTATTGCTTTCTGTAGAACAAAAATGTTCCTTGGACTAGTCTCCAAAAATGTCTTCTTCCAGACATGCATTCCAGCTTGCAGGATACTTCCTTACCTACCAGCAATCCAGGTGATTAGGGGACTATTTCCAAACAAGTTTGCTTAGTAACCCTTCCAGTGCTGAAAAACTAGAAAGCATGTAAATACACATTGTTCGTTAACAGCATTTGGACGTGAACATGGCTTTTGTTAATGGAAAGTGTTAACCTTCAAAATAAACAATAGTGATGGGCCTTAGGAAATCCGAGGTAACTTTTTTCTTCTTGCATACAGGTCTTAATACACTGTTGTGCCTGGTGTATATAACAAACTCCACTAGCTGAAGTAAGTGCTATTCAGATTGAGAGAGGATGAGTCAGGTTATCCCTGTTAGTGCATTTTTCTTACACTAGCACAGGAAAGAGATTTTAGCACCATGTTAACCTGTTTTTGAGAGGGGGAAAAAAAAACTCTATACATCTTGTGCATTGCTGGTGAAGGCTCTCCCCTCTACAACCTGATAATAATTTAACAGGCATATTTGTTCTTAGTCTGCGGAAAACAAATCCTAGCTACTCCTAGATGGTGAGTGTTGGCAAGTTAAGGAGATAGCAGCTTTAGAAGTGCATGGTAAAAAAAAGATCAGCTAGCCAGTTTGGTCTGTGTAGAAGTCTGTCCACGATGCCCCTCCCCCCTTTTTTGTTTTAAATTGCAAGACAAAGGATGTTTAATTCCTCGAAAGTGTGTGTAGAGTTGACACATATTCAGCTAATGCCATCATTTCAGGGTCAGGGCCTTTCAAATCTGGCCAAGAGGAACTTAGTATTTGTCAATAAGGTGGCATTTAACAGGCGCTTCTCTGCAAATTCAGTCTTCAAGGCTAAGGCAGATGGAGTGGTCACTAGAGATTGCAGGGTCCTCCCAATGTCAGGTGTTGAGCATAATAATGACAAAAGTCAAAATTTAGGGTTCAGTTCCAGCTGATTTTATTTCCTTCTCAAAAAAAGTTATTTACAGAAGGTATATATCAACAATCTGACAGGCAGTGAACTTGACATGATTAGCTGGCATGATTTTTCTTCTTTTTTTCCCCCAAACATTGTTTTTGTGGCTTTGAATTTTAAGACAAATATTCTACACGGCATATTGCACAGGATGGATGGCAAAAAAAAAGTTTAAAAACAAAAACCCTTAACGGAACTGCCTTAAAAAGGCAGACGTCCTAGTGCCTGTCATGTTATATTAAACATACATACACACAATCTTTTTGCTTATTATAATACAGACTTAAATGTACAAAGATGTTTTCCACTTTTTTCAATCTTTAAACACAACAGCTATAAACCTGAACACATATGCTATCATCATGCCATAAGACTAAAACAATTATATTTAGCGACAAGTAGAAAGGATTAAATAGTCAAATACAAGAATGAAAAACGCAGTACATAGTGTCGCGAACTCAAATCGGCATTTAGATAGATCCAGTGGTTTAAACGGCACGTTTTTGCTTATAAAAAAAGTGCAAAAAAGATGTGGTTTACAAGTTAAAGCTACAGGATCCCTTTTTTTTTTTTTTTTCTGTAAATGCACCAGTTTCAAAGCCTCTGGACAGAACAGTATTTCGTTTAAAATTCCTTTGTTAGAAGCATACAGTGCCTGGCTAATTCTCCTCCCCATTTTACAAGACTGGGGTTGAAGGGTGGATACTGGTGGCAGGTTAAGGGATACTGTCACTTTAAGAAGCCTGCAGATTGAAGTGTAAACATGGAGAAATTAGGGGCTGATTTTTTAAACTGTGTGAGATATTAACCAGCCTCCCTGTTATAAAATCAGGAAATCCAAACAGCGATTTACACCGATTAACACCCCCTTTATATATTTTTTACAAAAATACACTGAGAAAATAATCAAACGTTTTCATCTCTCTTGTCTTTTTTTTGTTTTTTAAAAGTGTCAAAAGTCTACATTTAAATATAAAAAATTAAAAGTTAAAACTCTAGCCCTTCAGTGAAGGAGACGTAAAATGGCGTGGGTAACAACAACTACCAAAAAAAAAAAAAAAGAAAGAAAGAAAGAAAGAAAAGAAAAAGAAAAAATAATGAAAAAAAAGGAAGGAAAAAATAAAAGTTAATAATAAAAGGAAAGAGAAAAGGGATAAAATCAGAAAAAATGTTTGGCCAGTATAAATACGTCCACATATAAAATGGCATCTGATTACATTTACAAGGGAAAGAAAAATACGAGGATGGAGCATCGGTGAGGGAAAAAGCACGTCTTCTCATTTACACCTATAAGGAATAAACACATACACACTGAGAAAAAATTTGGTCCTGAATTGTTTTTTTTTTTTAAAAGTCCAGCACAGATTTGAGTTGCGTTTGAATCCTTTAAAGAGTTAAGAATGAAAAAAAGCTGGTGATAATTTTGTTGTAGGAATCAAACATAGCGCCATCTATCTGCTTTTTATATTATCCTACACTATTTTAAAAACTGCTCAACAGTCTTATACAGAAATCTTTAAAAGATAGACAGGATAACATGCTATATTAACCCCACCAGTGAAATAATCCAACACCATCACGATTCCGATTAAGAGAAGAAAAAACCTCTTTTTCCCCCCAAACCACGCGCCCTCCACTGCCCCTGTACCACATCAAGGAGTCCCCTCCTGCTCGCCGGCCTCGGGCTCGCCGGCTTCCCGCAGGACCCGCCGCCTCCTGCGACCGACAGACCTACGGACAGATGCACCGCGATCCACAGGGACCGGGCGCCCCTAGGGTCCGCGCCCCGCCCCGCCCGCGCCCCGCTCCTCGCCTGTTCCCTAACGCCGGGCACGCGGGCTGACCGCCTCTCTCCACTTCTCCTCCGGCTGCAGGAGCAAGAGAAAAAAACAAAATAAAAAATGGGGCGGGGTGGGGGGAGAAGCCCCAAACGGGAACTCTCCAGCGTGTAGTCTCTCAGTCCCAGCGCTCCTGCAAAACATCTGCCATCGGCCAAACTCATCGCCCCGTCTAAGCCTTCTGTCTTCATTAGGCATTTAAAAAAAGGGGGGGAGGCGAGGAAGGGGGGGTCATGCTGGATTCCCCCACTTCCTCGACCCAAAAGCAAAACAAGGCAAAAATCAAAAGCCGCCGAGGTGGCGCAGAGAGAGGGGCAAGGTCCTGCAGTCTCTCCAATTTTCTTTCTTGCTGGGGGTGCACACAAGTCCGGAAGCTCGTTGGAAGGGGAGGGGGGAGTCTCTTCAAGCAAAGGGGAGGAAACTCGAAGTAGCTTTTTGCCATCAACAACAACATCAACAACAACAACAAAAGGTCGCCCCTGTCTACCCTCTGCGTCCCCAGCCCGGGGAGGTGGGGGATGGGAGCGCGCGCCCCCGCGCCGCTCTCCAAAGGTAGGAATGCGGCTGAAGCCAGCCCTACTCACTTTTCTTCCTTTTCTTTTTCTTTGTTTCCCTTTCCTCTTTCAACTCGCCACCTGTTCTTTTCCTGTTTTTTTTTTTTAATTTTTTTCTTTTTCCTTTTTTTTTTTTTCCTCTCTCTCCTCTGGCGCCCCTCTCCCTGCGCGCGCTTCAGTAGGTGAAGACTAGATTGGAGATGCTGGACTCGAGCCAGTCTCCCGAGATCATCTCGCTCACCTCAGGCGTGCAGTAGTCCGGGAACTCGAAGTGCGAGCCAGAGCCGGGCTCGAAGTTAAAATCCAGGTCCCGGTCCAGCGCCGACGACGAGCTGAAGCTGCCCAGGGACATGCTCTCAAAGTTTGAGCTGGGGTTCAGGTCGAGCAGGTCGTCCTCGAACTCGTCGTCGGAGGACGAGGAGCCCGAGGACGAGGAGGACGACGAGTGCGAGGAGGCCGACGAGGATGCGTGCGAGGGCGCGCTGGACGGGGCGGGCGAGGCGGCGCGCAGGCTGGCGTAGCCGCGGTGGTCGGCGGGCGAGCGGCCGGCGGCGGGCGACGAGGCGGCGCTGCTGCGGCCGCTCAGGCTCGGCCCGTCGGGCGAGCAGCCCGCGCCCCCCTCCTCGTACAGGCCCAGGGGGTCGCTGGGGTCGGCGCCCGCGCCCAGGCCGCCCACGGGCGACGCGGACGTGCCCAGGCCGCCGAACAGGTAGACGCGCTTCACCTTCTTCTCGGCCAGGTGCTTGCCGGGGGCGGCGAGCGCCGAGGCCGCCGTGGAGGCCGAGCCCGTGGCGCTGGGAGTCCGCACCTTGTACAGTGAGTGGTGATCAGCAGCCGCGGCGGCGCCCAGGGGCAGCAGGGCGGCGGCCCCTGCCTGCTCGGCCGCGAGGGAGGCGGCCGCGGCTTTCCCGCCGCCACCGCCGCCGCCGCCGCCGCCCGCCAGGATGAGCTTGGCGTGCGGTTTGCTGACCCCGCCGCCCGCGCCGCCCGCCACTTTGGAGCCGCAGCTCTTTTTCTGCGCGGGTTTGGAGTTGGCGCTGCCGCCGCTCGCGCCGCTGCCTCCTCCCCCCGCGCTGCTGCTCCCGCCACCGCCGCCGCCCCCATGGCCGCCCCCGCCGCTGCCACCGACCTTGTCTCCCTTCTCCCCGGGTTTGGAGGAGGCGGCGGCCGAGGAGCCGGAGTTGGCGTTACCGGACTTCACCTTCTTCCTCGGCCGGTACTTGTAGTCGGGGTAGTCAGCCATGTGCTTGAGGCGCAGCCGCTCCGCCTCCCGAATGAAAGGGATCTTGTCGCTGTCTTTGAGCAGCTTCCAGCGTTTGCCCAGCCGCTTGGAGATCTCGGCGTTGTGCATGTCGGGCGACTGCTCCATGATCTTGCGTCGCTCGATCTGCGACCACACCATGAAGGCGTTCATGGGCCGCTTGATGTGCCCGCTCGGCGTCTTGCACCAGCTCGGGTCGTCGGCCTTGCCGCCCGTGGAGGCGGTGGAGCCGGGCGTGGGGGAAGAGGCGATGCCCAGCTCGAGGCCGGCGCCCGAGTCCGAGCTCTCTCCGGCCAGCAGCGCTTCCGTGTTGTCGGCGTTGTTGGTTTGCTGCACCATGGCCCCGGCTCGGCGGGCGCCCACGCGCGCTCACACCCTCGCGGCGGCCGCGGCGCGATCGCCGGGCCCTCCCGGCTCCCCGGGCCAAGCACACGCCGAACGGGACCACACGCGCGGTGGCCGGGCGGGCCCCTCCACTCCTCGCCGGGGCGGAGGTGGGCGAAGAGAGAAAAGTCCCCAAAAGATGCGGAGAAGGAGTACTCCGCCTCTCGCAGAGGAGTTGTAGTTCCCAGGCTGGAGAGTCTCTCTCTTGCTCTCTCCCACTGTCTCCTCTCTCTTGGTCGCACCGCGCTGCAGTTTGCTGTCTGTCGGCTCAGTCTGGAGACCGTGGAGAGTGGAGAGGAGTTTCTTCAATGCTGGTGGCTGAAGCTTCTTCCAATGCAAGTTTCTCGCCGCCTCCCAGGCAAGTCTTTTTTTTTTTTTTCCCCCTTTCCCCTGAAGCAGTTGATTCCAGTTCAAGAGCGCTCGCGGTAGCTCAGGAAAGCGACATAGTCTCTATCACTTAGTCCCTTTGCTACAATGCAAAGCTAAAACGACTCTGGCTCCAGGACTGTCTATGGGCGGAATCGGCACTAAGGAGTTTGTGCAATTATTTTCTTGCAAGGTATGAAGCCAAAAAGCCTGCATGCAACAGACTGGCATGAATAAATGTATGTTTCCCCTCCCTTCTGCAAGAAGGGAGCTGGTAATGGCAGAGTTCCTCCAGTGCAGACTCTTAAAGAGTGTGCAAGAACTAGAGACCCGGGAGTGAAACAGGCCTCTTCCCTCACACACTGTTTCTCTTGCTGCAGCTTAGAGCAGACCCCAATTCCGCCTCGCGCCTCTTTATCCTTTCACAGACTTGGCCGCAGCCAATCAGCCGCTGTAACTAACGCTTCCTCGTGCCAAGCCCCTCCCCCGGTCTTCCCATTGGCTTGGAATCCGATGCAATAATAATCTCCGCGTGCAATGAGAAGCTCCAAATCTGACCTCATTCCAATTTACAGAGCAAACTTTTTAAAAGGGCTAGAAGTACAGCTGAGATTTCTGCTGCCTTTTTTCCTTTTGCTGTGTGTGTGCGTGCGTGCGTGTGCGTGTGTGAGTGAAGAGGATGTTAATGCATGAAATTATTAAGGGAGAGACGGAAATGTATTCTAACCATTATGTTAGATAACAAGGGGCTTGGAGGGGGGGTAAGGGTGAAATACTGTAAATGGAAGCTTTCTGCTTAAAAGCCAAGTGATTATTTTTATTAGTTCTTTTCAGCATTGGAATAAAAGAATCAGCCTCTAGTGCAAAATGTGTTTCTCAGTTCCTTCTTAAAGCCAGAGATGTAAAGGGGAGGAAAAGCCACAATAAATCAATGGATATTGAAGACCATTAAGAAAGTGGTACCTAGACACCTGTCATCACAATTATTTTAACAACTCTAGGTACAGCACAGATGTTGATGTATTGTGTAAATCCCTTCAAAACAGTTGCTGTGCTGTTTGTGGAAGGCAGAGAAGAGGCCTTTCTGCAGTAATTGCTTACTCTCTTAACCAAACAGAGGTTAACTATGGTTATTTAATGATTTAAACTCCCCCTATAAATCCTGGATAGCCCAAACAAGGAGATTTGCCTTGAAACACATTAGGCAGTGCTCCATAATTTCCTCTATGGGAGACTTTCTGTAGCGTTTTGTATAGAATTACGATGTGACAGTGTGAGTGCAGTATGGCAATTGACTTTACTTTCTGAATATTTGTTTTCCATATTTTCCAAAGGAAAGATTGTTTCACTCTTCTTCCTCCCCTAAGGCCCTTCTCCTCTCCTTCTTTCCTTATATATTTTCTGTATGTGTGTTGCTTGGAGCAAATGGAACTAAAAGCCTGAGGCAAAGAGAAACTGTAGAAGATGGTGATAACTGGTAGTGGAAGAGAATAGGGCCTCTGAACTCATACTAGACCTGGCACTAATCTTTCTTTCTGGGTTTTTAACTGAGGATGTGACTAAGTCTTAGTTGTCCTGTCTATGATACGGGCATATTAGAAGTTACTTTATAGAAGATTGTTGTTGGTGTTCAAAGAGTTTGTGACTATAAAGTACTGATGTATATAAAACTCCTCACTGTAAGCCAATACCCTTCCCTTGGTAATTCAAGTACCAGTTCTAGCAAAAGCAGCATATTCTTTAAGAGGCTAAAACAGAATGATCACTGATGTGAAAAAATAATCACAGATCATAGATGTGAACTATACAAGGACAATATGTAATCCCAGTAACTTTTTTAAAGGAAGTACATGAAGAAGATGATGAAAACTGGCAAAGAAACAGTACTTAGGTATTCAAAATGCGTATTAATTTGGCCATACAAACCTCTTTCCTAAGAACTGAAAATTAGGATTTTAGTAAAAATTGGCCTTCCTTTACACTGTAAAAGTAAACTGATTTTCTTCAGGCCAATGATAATTACGGCCAGCTCAACACAAAATCAGTTTTAGATTCAGGTCACACTCATGCTGGGTAGTATATTTCCACTTATCTTGTCAAATTTTTAAAGTATGTATGCTGGCAAGAGGCCCAGATTGTCAGATTTAGAAATTTACTGGAAAAACCACCCTATGGAGACAGCTCATTGGATCTCTAAGGATCAACCACAAGCAAGAATGTTTTTGTGGGTAAAAGCAAATAATTTTTTGCCATTAGCTACCCAAGTTATATACTTTTTTTTCTAGAAGGGGAAAACCTAAAACAATAGCACCCCCCCACACACACACCAGAAAAAACCCCACAGACACCTTTTTTGCATAACAAAGGCAACATATCATCATTTTTTCTACAGAACATCCCTAAATGCTATTAATGACATAAAAATTATTCTATGAGGTGTGTTATCTATGAAATCAGTATTTTCACTAGAAAATGTTTTCACTAAAAAAAAGAATAAATCTATTTGGGGATTTGTACCAAATAATGATTGGAAGATGTAGCTAGTTTAATAATTCAACATGAATATCAAAGCAATTGGTAGTGTTTCTAGCAACATTTTTTGCTGCCATCATTGTGTACAAAGGGGAAAATGGAAGTTAATCAAAGCAGCCATAATAATTATGTTTATGCTTAATGCACACACTTTTTTCAAGAGTGTACTAAAAAGTAGTCACTGACCTAAGTCTTTTGTTATATGTATTTTCTGTATTTCAACAAAACCAAGAGATATTAAGACACTTCATTATATTACAGACCACCAAGGAAGAAAAACTGCCAATTTAAAATAAAAAAACCTTTATTACCCCCCTCTAACTGTAAGATGCCTCCCTGTCTTAGAGGTGTTGAAATGAAAACATTAGCTCTAACATTGATGAAATATGGTATTAGGAGCTTTCATTAACTTTATTAGATGAGTATGTATGTATATATTGACTGCTTAGACTTCTGAAGTAGGACTGTTCTTATGTGTTAGATCTCTAAAATGTAAGAAAACATCTGAGAAATGACTTTTAATTAAAGTCATCTTTCAACTGAAGTATGTGCACACCAAAATGCACTGGGCTTCTGAATACCAAATAATGAGAAAAGATTTCTGTGTTCTCATTCCCTGACTTCATATTCTCTGTAATCAGTGCTCCATTACTGACATTTTTTTTCATCAAATACCAGATATCTGGTGGCCCCTAGAAAATCAGTACTCAGTGTTCCCTCTGCTGGCTTTTCAGTACATGAAGTAATTCTTAATGCTACTCTTTCAGCTGTATTAACAAAAAGCCAAGATAATGTTGCAAATAAACAAATAATCCTGTTTTACAATCAACTAATCATCTTTATTGACAATGATGTTAGATATTTCAAGTTCTGAATTAAGGTAGATTAAATAATGGAATCCATCTGATAGCTAAGTGTAACGTTTGCTAATGCATTTCTTTTGCTCTAGCACACCTGCACAACATAAAATCCCATATCCATAAAATGGCATGGAATGTAAATGGAAAAATTTTACCCCTTTGTTTACTAAACATTTCTATAGCATAGAGGGGAGAAAAACCTGAATTGAGATTAGTTAAACAAATCTGGATTTGCACTGCTTTGCATGACATTGCCTTGCCTTGGTTGTAAAACCTGTGATTGTAGGAGCTAACCTGATCTAAGTATTTAACTCAAATAAAACGGGGAGGGGTCACTGTTACTTTAGCTGACAGGAAGACCTGGAAAATATTATATCCTTGGCCTTTGTCAATTGAAAGGCCCAGGGGATTTTGGTTCCCACGGGACCCTCCATTCAAGCCAAGGCTGATTTACTTCTCAATCAAGGAGGCACCTCATCTTTTTGGGCTGATGAGGTTTATATTGGAACAGGACTAAGGGAAGGGTGATGCACTAAAAAATAACATGTAATTCTTATTTTTAGAATATCAAAACAAGATAAATTAAATATTTGGTTTATTTTTACTCTTAGAATAAGTTAAGAAACCCACTTTTCTCTGCCTCTTGCCTTATCACCACCACTAGCACATAAAAACTCAAGTCAGTTCTTCATACTAATTCCAGTCAATGCCAACTAATTATTCCTTTGCTCTCGATTTTTCTCATGAGTGCAAGCAGAAGGCGAATGTTTGCATGGGCCACGTAGATTTGAAGCATAAACACATGCTTCTGCTCCAGTTCTCCAGGTAGGGACATGGCACACCCACCTCCAGCCTGGATATGCAGTGCTTGCAACCAGCTGCCTCCTAATCTGGGGAGAAGTGGCCGCCAGGTGGCAGCGCTGAGCCTCCCTTCGCCGGCAACGAGACGTGGGAAAACCTGAAGATGGTCAAACTTCTCCCTCCTCTTCTTCTCCCGAGCCACTAGCACCCTCCATCACTTTGCCTTCTTTAGATAGCGGTGCGGTCTAAACCATCAGCGGGTAATATGGCGCGCTCGTGAATTCTGATCATTTTTTAAAATAAATCAAAGTTTACAGCAACCAACCGCTAACCCCTGTTCCCTTGTCAGAAGCTCCCGAAGACTGGGAAAACCAAGACTCGCATCCCCTTTGGATCTAGTAATCATACTTGGGAGGTTATCAATTCCCGTGTCCGTATCATCTTGAAGAGGCGGGAAAGAGAATACAGTTTCTCCGCCAGCTGCTGTCTGCTTCGATGGCCTTGAGCAAGGGGTACCCCTTCTCGTTTAAAAAAAAAAAAATGGTTTCCCTGGACCAACACGCCTCTCCGTGCGCACCGACGCGGGCGCGCAGGCACCGCACTCTTCCTTCCCAAAACTCGCCGAAGCATTAGAGGTGCTCAGCCTCCTTCTGCCGCCGCGGCTGAACCTCGCCTTTCGATTAGTTACGGAGAGGAAATAAACTGGAATCGACTGAGGCTGTGTCTTTCCTACTGTAAACATGTTTCAAG